ACTTTCCCTGCCCTGTGTTGCCTCACCTGGAAGGCACTGTCTGAAGCTGTATCCTGGTAATTAAGTCTTTTAAAAAATATCTTTATGGGGTTTTTTTGTTTGTTTTTTCTTTTTTTGGTGGGAGTGAGTGGTAGTGGTTGCCTGTCTCTCTCTCTCATAAGCCCAGCCCCCTATATGCTGCCTCCCTAATACAGAATACCTTGATAGGATGTGAATGTAGAGAATTTTCCTTCAAGTAACCTTAAATTTCTACCTTTGCACATCCTTTACATCCTATATATAAAATATGTTCCTTATTCTTGCAGTTAGTGTAGCTTTGGAAATGTAGGAATTAAGTTGCAGAGATGAAGAAATATCTTTTGTGTTGCTATTCTTTAGTATATACATGTTGAAAGTTGAGGTAAAATTATTTAAAAAAAAACACAAAAAAACAGAACTTTCTGAACATGCTTGATCTGTTTCAAGGGAATTCTTCCTTTATCTGAAGGAAAATAGCAAAGTTTGGAATTTCTGCCTTTCAAACTTAGTTGTTATTCTCTGCTTAATAGCAGGGTGTTTATCACAAATACCTGTTTCTTTGATTGTTATGTAGTGTTAGCTGGTAGTTGACATCACTTTTTCCCTTTTTTTTGTGTATAATTTTCCAGGAAAACTCAGTGATCTCTGTCAGATGAACAAGCTCTTTTTCCAAAATTGTGATGGTATAAAACTGCTTTTGAGAGTTTATTTATTCCAGCCACTGTCTGGACTAGTAATTATTTGTTCACTTCTTAATCTCTAATGCATATTCCCTTTAAGGCTTCCTCCAAGAGCTAATTAGAATTTCTCTATTATATGAATCCCCCCAAAATGAAATTCTGTGGATGAAGCCTTAATTTGACTCTTGATAATTAATTTTTAGTTCCAATCAGTTATATTACAGAATACAAAAGAAAATTAGTGTTTGTCTTGCTACATAGCTTTTAAAATATCACTTTTGCTTTCTCTTTTGAAAACAATCTTAAATTTTAATTTTTTTTTGACAGCCTCCAGTGGATAGGCCATTATTACAGCTCAAGACTGATAACATGAGATTGTGATTACTTAGTGGCTTAGGATATATTATTTAGCTGTGTTTATGTCCCATTTGGTGGGGGGGAGTGAAAAGTATTGTTTATGACCCATATAAACAAACTTATGGTTACCATAGTTAGGGGAGGTGGATAAATTAGGAGTTTGGGATTAGCAGATACAAACTGCTATATACAAAACAGATAAACAAGGTCCTACTGTTTAGCACAGGGAATTGTATTCAATAGCTTGTAATAACCTACAATGAAAAAGAATATGAGGAAGAATATATATGTGTGTGTAATTGAATCACTATGCTGTACACCATAAACTAACACAACATTGTAAATCAACCATACTTCAATAAAAAAATTTTTTTTAATCTTCTGGAGTTTTTTCCCCAGAGAAAATAAGAAATTAAAGTATTGTTTCAAATATTTTACTTTGTTCACCCTGGGTTAATATACACGTTGTAGGTCATGCTTTTTTTTTTTTGAAGCATAGTATATTTTAGGCTTCTTTAGGATGCAGTAAGAGGTTTTAAAAGGTGTTTCTCTTGGTACCTGAGGAGAGAAATATTTATCTTTGTCCAGCTATTTTATGTCATTTATCTCTTGTGGCTTAACTTTACAGCTTCAGTGACACTTAAAAATTAAATATACTGGGTCTGATAATGGGCATTTTGAGTATAGATTAGAGCTAAATTATTATAAGTTGCTTGAAGTCACATTTTAAACAGTTTAATTCTCAAATTTTTGTTTAGAGTCATTTAAAATTTATTTTAAAGAAAAATGTTGGCTTCTTTATGAGTATACAAATGTTTTTTCCTCTACATATTGTAAAATGTATAATATAATTTTTGGCACTATTTTCACCACGGTCCCTACTTTGTTTCTACTTTGAAGTAATAAGACCTCCTGATAAAATATGCTTTTTATGAGCCCTCTCTAAAAAATACGATTTGGTGTTCTCAGGACAGTCAGATAGAATATTTAACTAAAGGTTCTGTTGTGCGGGAGAGGAGGAAAAAAAGAGACGCTACTTAGCACTGACTCTTCAACATTGTTCTCATCTTTTTCTAACTGTCAGCTTTCCCTTGAACTTGAAATGTTGGCTGATTGAAAACTGGGGTCAATGATGACATAGGGAGATTTGAGTATCAAATCAGGACCATCTTAGTTATAATTTTCTTCCCCTGACTTAAAGATATCTGTTCAATTCCAGAAACTTGAAATGAAATATTTAAATACAAACAAGTTTCACCCACTTTTCAAGTCGTTCCTTTCCCCTCCTATTTCGGTCCTTCTACAAAGTGCAACAAAACCTTATCCAACCTTTCACTATTAACAGTACTTTTTAGTACTAGCAAATTTGCTAAAAGAAAATAAGTTTTGATTTTTGTTAACTTAGCTGCTTCTTATATATGACTGTACATGAGATATAATTCTTTAGTAAATATTAAAAGCTAATCATAAAATAAATATATCAATAATGCTTAATGGTCTTGGCTGTCATTGCTTTCATTATGTCCTTCCTACACACTAGGTTTTAGAGTAAACATGTTTAGAGATGAGATATGGAGGTTACTATAGACAGGGATTTTCTTATTATCTAGATGTAGATTTCTAGATTTCTGATTTTGTTTACATTTTAAAGCAAATATGGTATAGTTATAAGGAAAATATAAAACCTTGCAGAACTCTTAGCTCCTTATCCTAATGCTGAAGTACAGCCTTTTATTTCAAGTTTATAGTTCCAGTTTCTCAAATAAGAGTGGTTATGTTTATGGTTCTTCCCTCCTCCTAGGTTCGTCTTCTGGATGTCTAAATGCTTCAACTCATCAGGGTGCCATAGATGTTTATGTCAGCCAGCTGGAGAAAGTGGAATTGAAATCCCATAAAGGTTAGCCAACTGGGATGTTTTATATTGACATTTGGTATAAGGAAGGCTTTATGTAACATTCAAGAAACAGATGGTCAAATTGTCTTATCTGCGCTGATAGTGATTTCCATAAAATTTTTCTCTGATAGAACCTGATTTAAAGGCTGGAATACTAGCCTTCTAGACCAAAGGTCTTTGAATCTTTTGGAACAGATGGCCATGAAGACTATCTTTCCCTTTGTAGTACAAACTTAATGTTGTAATTTATTGACTGACTGTTACTTTGGAGTTTTTTAATGTTAGTGTTTGGTTTTTCCAGTTTAGTTTTATGTCTGAAATAGAATTTCTCAAGATCTTATTATTTTTTCCTTTAAAATAGGATAATATCATGTTCTCGCTTAATTTCTAGCAGCTTCAATGATACTGTTGTATTCAGTACTATTCAGGGTATTTCATAAATACCAAAAAAGTCATATAATTGCATTCTTGTATTATGAAGACCCAAGGAGAAAAAAAGAACCATTACTACATTTAATGTAACTAGTAACAGAGTAAAAATAAGGTTTTAAATAGCAGCTCTTACATGAAAATTATTTCCTGCATTGTGTGGATGGGCAAAAAAGTAAAACAAAACAAACAAAAAACATTGTTAATCTTTATCCACATAAAGTATTTTTAACTATTATTTAGAATGTTATTCTGGTAAATTATTGAAATTGCATATGATGTGGCAAAATTTGATTGGAATTTTTTGTGTGTTCCCCTATTGGGACCATGTTACTGGCAGGAGATTAAGGATAACTGAAAACAAAGATTTCTGTCTTAATTCAGGTCTCTTAATTCTCAAAACCCTTGGCAATAGTAACTTTAGAATAATGGGAAGTTATTCAGGATTCTGTTGCTTAATAGTAAAGACATCTGTAATTCTTTCCAACTCTGCCACTTATGTTGCTGTAGAGTTTAAGAGCCAGCCACTTGAGTCTCTTAGGCTGTCATTTCAGCCCCTATGGCCATTTTGCCATGTGAAAAAGAATGTTACAATGCTTGTTTTCTCTATTGATATGAAAGGTAACATAGTGACCTTATTATTTCATTCAGAAAGGCTGTGTATAGGCTTGAGAGTCAGACCTGCATCTGAGTAATGACTTTTCCACTTAAAATTTGTCCTGATGAAACTACTCATCTTAATATAGTATACCTTCAATAAATGATGCTGTTGTATTAGTTCAGTTTTTAATTTTTAAAAAATGATAGTGATGTCAATAACCATGAAGCAGTTTTTGAAGTGAAAAGAAGTTGAAGACATAGCAGGAGCTCTCCTTTCTAAAGAAATACTGTTTAAGATGGGACATTGGGGAAGGCTTTCAACTCAGGAGACTTCTTCATTCACAAACAATAATGAAGGTTTGGTAGTGATGGTTTTTGTTTTTTAAGGATGTGGAGAGATAGGGATAGAACTATTTGCATTACTTAACATTTAAAAAAATTCTCACAGTTTTAAGATCCCTTTATTCATTCAAGAACAGAAAGAAGTGTTCAGAAAATTGTTACATTTGATATGTTCAGAGATATTAAGTCCTAGGAAAATTTTTTAAATCTATTATTTTCTAATTTTTAAAGTATGTTTGGTAGAGAAACATGTGTCTTCTATTCATCCCGAAATTCTCCCGGTTTGTTTTTTGTTTTGTGTGTTCCTAAAGCCCTCATATCTGTTTTTATGGGCAACTTCTGTTATTAGTTTACATTTAAACCCTGAAAAGCTATCTGTTTTTTAAATGGGATAAACCAGTTGTAGTGATATGTTTCATTTGGCCCTTTTTGTGGAGTAAATGTGACAGTTCATGAGTCTTAACTTCAAATTTCCAGCTCCCATTCGGAAGGCTGAGACGATATGGGATTACTTAGGAAAATTTAAGCTGATATTAATCAAACTAGAAGGCATACAGTGACCCGTAAATAAACACATTCTGAAAGGAATCTTTACATCATTCACAGTGGGTGTCATCATGACCACCTTCATCCATAGAGATGGGGCTAATGTTTTATGGAAAGGGCTTTTATATTATTTGATACATGAGAAATAGAAAAAACTTCTGAAAACAGGGTGCTGGTAGGTTTGCACTGCAATCCACATAATGTTTTGAAAAATGATTCTTTATTAACAGAGTAGTTTTTTCTATTTCTTCCTTTAGAAATTGGATTAATACAAAATAGTAGTAGATATTAAGTTGAATGTCTTGCTTCTGGTACCCTAAAGTCTGTAATCCATTACAACGAAGCATTAGTTAAAATTTAAATATTCCCTTTTTTAATTATTGTTATCTCTCTACTCCCCTACACACCAGGTACTACTGAAAGTACAAGCGCTCAGGGTTCTAGCTGTGTTACAATAATCAGTGAGGTCACAAGTCCTGTAATACAGCGAGGTAGCAGTGTGTGAAATACCACAGTGCTTAAGGGCATGGGTTTGTTGTCATTGAAATGGATCTAGATTCCAGCAGTATCTCCAGTGGAAATTTGAACAAGTTCTTATCTGTAAAATCAAGATTATAGTAATACATAATAAAGTTGAGAGGGAAATTAAAAGAGATAATCCAGTAAAGGTGTCTGACTCTTAGTGAATGCTCAGTTAATGATAAATTCTGTCTACAAGCTGCATGTGTATTAAACCACTTTTCTAGTATTGGATGAGCTGACTAGGGCTGTTGGCAAAAGAAGAAGTAGTAGTTCATGATGTCCTAATGACTCATAACTCTTGTCAGAAGATGCTGTGGATGCCTTGGGAATAAGGGAATGTTGACCACCTGAAAGTAAGGAAAAGGCACTATTATTTAAATAAAATATAATGATGAGTAAAGATAGTGTATCAGGAGCAATGCTACCCTTTCAGTCATTTTTGTGTTAGACTCTGGTACTTTTTATTTCTTTGCATTAATAAGATCTCCTTTAAATTTATCACAGGCTCCATTCTTGTCAAGGTTGCATCTTCTCTTCAAGCTTATTTACAGTTATCAGGGAAAGAAATTGATGTGAACTCAGAAGTCCGTGTTGAAGAAATGGATGAAGCTCATAAAGATGATGGTATAATAATTACTGGTAAGGAGGCTGCATTTTGCTATGTAAGATGAATGGTCATTGTCTGTATATAAATAGAAATATGCTATACTTAATTGCAGGTTTAGTCTTTTATTCCTTTCCACTGTTGCATTTTTCTTCCAGTTGCTTGTCATAAACACAATTGCATACATTTAGTTTGAAATGCTCACTAGTCCTGTCACTGGATAAAATTGATTTTTTAAAACTTTCCTATCAAAGTGATACTTATTTGCACACTCATTTTTATAGTAGCATTTTTCACAGTAGCCAAGAGGTAGAAGCAACCCAAATGTTTATTGATGGATGAATGCATAAATGAAATGTACTATATATACATACAATGGAATACTTTTCAGCCTTAAAAAGGGAGGAAATCCTATCACATGCTAAACGTGGATGCTCCTTGAGGACATTATGCTAACTATAATAAGCTAATCACAAAAAGACAAATAATGTATAATTGCATTTATACCATGTATCTAAAGAAACAAAGTAGGGGGAGAGGAAAATTGGGAGTTGTTCAGTGGGTGTAAAGTTTCAGTTTTGCAAGATGGAAGGTTCTGGAGATCTGTTGCACAACAGTGTGAGTATACTTGACACTACTAACTGTAAGCATAAAAATAGTTAAAATGGTAAAATTTAATGTTTTTTACTATAATTAGAAATTTTTAATCATTAAAAAAAAATTTATGGCACAGCTGCTCTCTAATTCTTGAACTTAAAAATCAACTACAATTGACCCTTGAACAATGCAGGAGTTAGGGATATTGGCCCCCCACCACAGTACAGTCAAAATTCCGTCTGTAACTTTACAGTCACTCCTCCATATTTGTGGTTCCACATTTGCAGATTCAACCAACTGTGGATCGTGTAGTATTGTAGTATATATTTATTGAAAAAAATCTATTATAGTGGATTTGCACTGTTCAAACCATGGTGTTCAAGGGCCAACTATAAATATATATAGTGCTAGATATAAAGTTAGCTTTGTACAAATTTGGTTTAGTATTGTGCACATTATAAACTTGATCTTTTAGTACAACAAATTCTTAATTCCAGAAATGTGGAAAGCTTTTGCACATTTTTTCAAATTACCTCTGGCTGCATTGATGGCTGATACTACTATTAAGAAATATTTATGGTATGGATAATACATGTATATAGTTTTAAAAAAAAGACTTAATGCTAGTGAAATTTTCCTTTAACTCTTACTCAGAATGGCATTGAGAAGGACATTGAGGCTTACCCATGAGATACTGTCTAGAAAAAAGAAAGTGTGTGTGGTAGTGGTGATAGAAGTGGTGGTAGTGGGGCTTCTTCGTAAGATCAAATTTTAGTTTTAAATATTCATTTTATATTTTATCAAATTTAAGAAAGCAGTCTGTTAAAAACATAGAATATTAACAGAAACCATAGCAGTAATAAAAATAGCACCTGTACACTTTCAGATCTAAGATCTTACTCGATGCCTAATGGGCAGACTTTTAGTTACATAGAGAAAATTTGATGAAAATTTAAGTGTATTAAATGTAAGAATCAACTTCTTGTGATCTAATCTCTTGAAACTGATAAGGAACCAGTAGTTACCTGTTTTGGCCCTAGTAATTATAAAGTAATAGTACAAATTTGTTTAATAATGCTCTGAATGATAGTGTAGTCAAATTATTTCATATATGTTAAGAATGTTTGAATTCTTATAATAAGTTGTCATCTTTCATTTATTCATAGAATCGTATGCCTTTATGAAATTTAGGTTTAGTTTTAGTTCAGTTTTAAGATTCTATTCTCATCATTTCTGCCATTTAAAAAAAGACTTCATCAGATTATCTAAGAACACCTGCTAGTCCTGCCATTGGATAAAATCAGTATCTGCAGGCCTAATCTATTAAGTTCTTGCCCATTTCCATTCCAACTAAAGGAGTACCAGCTCAAACAATATTATTTAAAAACAAGTACCATCTTTTCTTAGCCTAGCTTCTCCTCCTGTCTTCTCTATTTTCCTTTATTTGGTCAGTCACACAACAAATATTTATTGAGTCAGGCACTGCTAGAAACTAGAAGATAAGATAATATAATAAAGTATGGTCTCCCTGACATCTGAGGAGCTTACATCCTAGTGAAGCAAGACAAACAAACCAGTGAATACAATAAAGTGGAATAAATGTTATAGTAAAGGTATGCACAGGTACTGTGAGAGCATGGAGGTGGCTCATCTAAATTAGACCAGCATAATGAGTTTGAGGGAGTGAGACTAGTCCAATATAGCTAGAGTACAGAGAGTTTAAGGGACAAAGTGGCATAAACGGAGTTTGGAAAGTTTGAGAGGGGTCAGATCATATCAGATCAAGCCAGTCAGGGTTGATTTGGCTTTTATACTAAATGCATTGCAAGGTTTTAATCTGGGGTTCACATGATCATATCTGTGTATTAGAAAGATCTCTGAATTTTGAGTGGGGAAAATGACAATAGTGGGTGAAGGAAAAGTTAATTATAATTAGCAGGTTACTGCAGTAATTCAGGCAAAAGACTTCAGTGGCCTGGGCTCCAGTGATCTATCTTAAAATAAACAAATAACTAAGCCTTCAATAAATTTTGGTTGAAGAAATAGATATCGGTATACCTCATTTTATTGCACTTTGCTTTATTGCTCTTTGCAGATAGTATGTTTTTCACAATTTGAAGGTTTGTGACAACCCTGCATGGAGCATGTCTACGGGCGCCATTTTTCCAACAGCATTTGTTCATTTTGCATCTCTGTCTTGTTTTGGTAATTCTTGTAATATTTTAAACATTATTATTATTATTATTATTACTACTACTACTACTACTACTATATTTGTTTTGGTGATCTGTGATCCATGATTGTTGATGTTACTACTGCAGTTGTTCTGTGGCACCACAAACTACATCCATGTAACATTTAATCTTTAAATGTTCTGTGTCTTCTGACTGCTCCATGACTGGCCATTTCCCCATCTCTCTCTCTGTCCTCAGGCCTCCCTAGTCCCTGTGACACAACAATATTGAAATTAGGCCAATTAATAATCCTACAATGGCCTCCAAGTGTTCAAGTAAAGGGAAGAGTCGCACATCTCTCACTTTAAATCAAAAGCTAGAAATGATTAAGCTTAGTGAGGAAGGCATGTTGAAGCCAAGATAGGACAAGTAGGCCTCTTGCACCAAACAGTTTGCCAGATTGTAAATGCAAAGGAAAAATTCTTGAAGGAAATTATAAGTGCTACTCCAGTGAGCTCATGAATGATAAAAAAGTAAAACAATCTTATTGCTGATATGGAAAAAATTTTAGTGGGTTGGATAGAAAATCAAGTCAACCATGGCATTCCCTTAAGCAAAAAGCTAATTCAGAGCAAGGCCCTAACTCTCTTCAGTTCGGAAGAGGAATGAAGAAGCTGCTGAAGAAAAATTTGAGGCTAGCAGACTTTGGTTTAAGAAGGTTTAAGGAAAGAAGCCATCTCCATGTTATAAAAAATGCAAGATGAAGCAGCAAGAGCTGATGTAGAAGCTACAGCAAGTTATCCAGAAGATCTTGCTAAGATAATTAAAGAAGGTGGCTACACTAAACAACAGATTTTCAGTGTAGAAGAAACAGCTTTATATTGTACAAAGGTGCCATCTTGGACTTTCACAGATAGAGAGATGAAATCAGTGCCTGGCTTCAAAGGACTGAATGACTGTCTTTTTAGGGGCTAATGCTCTGGGGACTTAAAGTTGAAGCCAGTCTTCATTTACCATTCTGAAAATCCTAGGGCCCTTCAGAATTATGCTCAGTCTACTCTGTCTGTGCTCTGTAAATGGAATGGCAAAGTCTGGATGACAGCAAATCTGTACAGCATTGTTTACTGAGTATTGTAAGGCCACTGCTGCTACCTACTGCTCAGAAAGAAAAAAAAGATTCCTTTCTGAATATCGCTGGTCATTGACATTGCACGTGGGGGTTACCCAAGATGTCTGATGGAAATGTGCAATGAGATCAATGTTCTTTTCAAGCCTGCTGCAGCCCATGGATCAAAGGGTAATTTCAACTCTCAAGTCTCATTATTTAAGAAATAAGTTTCATAAGGCTCTAGCTGCCGTAGATAGTGATCCTCCTGATGAATGTGAGCAAAGTTGGTTGAAAGCCTTCTGTAAAGGATTCACCATTCTAGATGTCATTAAGGACATTTGTGATTCATGGGAAGAGGTCAGAAAATCAACATTAACAGGATGTTGGAAGAAGTTGAGTCCAAACCTCATGGATGACTTTGAGGGGTTCAAGACTTCAGTGGAGGAACTGCGTATGTGGTAGAAATAGCAAGAGAACTAGAATTTGAACTGGAGCTGGAAGATGTGAGTGAATTACTGCAATCTCATGATAGCGCTTTAATGGGTGAGGTGGCTTCTTATGGATGAGCAAAGAAAGTGGTTCTTAAGATAGAATCTACTTCTGTTGAAGATGCTATGAAGACTGTTGAAATTACAACAAAGGATTTAGAGTAGTACAGAATTTTATTTGATAAAGCAGTGGCAGAGTTTAAGAGGATTGGCTCCAGTTTTGAAAGAATTTCTATTGTGGGTAAAATGCTGTCAAATAGCGTTGAGTGCTCTAAAGTGCTCCCTGTGAAGGGAAGAGTCAGTCAATGCAGCAAACATTAGTATTGTCTTATTTTAAGAAGTTGCCACAGCCACCCCAGCCTTCCGCAATCACCCCCCAGTCAGTCAGCAACCATTAACATCGAGGCAAGACCTTCCACCAGCAAAAAGATTGTTAATCGCTGAAGACTCAGATAATGGTTAGTATTTTTTAGCAATAAAATTTTTTATTATTTTTAAATGTTTATTATATAAAAATTCTATAAAATCTTAAATTATGCCTGTAAATGGATACTGTGAGGAAGATGCGTGCCTACCTTATTGATGATTATGAAGCTCCTTAGCCTATTATTTTTATGTACGTATTGTTATGTCTTACATATGAGATAAGGCAGCAATCTCTTTTGGAG